GATTTTCAAAAGTCCTCACCAGTACTTTACTATAAACCTCAATCTCCAAACGTAGCTCCAGAAAATAGATCTACAAGGAAACATTAGCAGTAGCATCTTCAGCGTCCTTCACTCAACATCCATTCCAACAAAACAAAATTAAGTCAATACTACACAGTGTGTATGCACAGACACACACAAACAGGCCAAATTTTAATGGCAATATTCAGAGAAAGTATATTCGGTTCAGAGAAGGTATTATATCTACAGAGATAATTAATACACAGCTTTAGTGGAAACATAATAGACAAGGTTGCCTTCATTTGCATCAGATAGGAAAAGTGACATTAACATTTATATTTATAAACGTTGAAATTTATCTGGAAACAGATAAAGCCAACAGTAATCTCCTAGCATAAAATATGAGTAAGATCAATGTCATTTTAAAGATAAACACACACTTTTCATCCCAATTAAATAATGCTATAAATCCTTCTGCACTGGATTGCAAATAACTTCAGCTGAATAAAACTGCATGATAGGGGATTTACTTATCCTGTATGTTCACAGAAACAACTTGTTCCCTGACAGCACTCATTCTTGGCAATTTATTGCAGCTGTCAGCAGCCAATTTGTTCAGATTACTGCTATGCATAAAGGTGTAACAATCATGAGGATTTATTAGCCGATTACTGTAAAGGCGACAGTCTGGATCGCCTTTGGAAACACAGATGATAAGAAAGTTAAATAATTACATGAAGATTAAAATAATTTCACCTACCTTTCAGTCTCAATATTAGCTACCTAAACTTACTAGTTTACTACTAAACTTATATGCTTTTTATCATGGTAATCTATTGACTCAGTATGGAAGAGGAATGATTTTAGTTGTAAATAGCAAGTATGTGGATATTTAATTTAGCCAAGCTACACAACCTACGTATGCACCCATACATTCTCGCACAAGTAAATCAATCATAATTACTATTCCCGTGTTATGGTAATAACTCTAATTATCAAATGATGTAATGAGTAATGTTGCAAGTTCACATATTCATTTGAACTTACGAAGGGTGCCACTATGACTACAAATATTGGTGCTTTCTAGGGAAAGAACTAAATGACCTTGGACCCCCACATATCCTTGCTCCTTGAAAGCATTTGGACTCTCCTCTCCTGATGCCTTTTTTTTTTCTTTTAAGTTATCTTAAGTTATACTCTTTTTAAACTTTTTAAGTTATCAGAACTTAATCTTCTGCTTCATTCCACACAGAACACGCTTCTAGTCAAGCCCCAAGTTTCCTCAATGAATCTGCACATCATCTGGAACACACTTTTCTCAGCACTTTTGTATGAGGTCTTTTTCTCAGGAGAGACCTTCTGGCTTTTGAAACCTCCAAACTAGAGATGGAAACGGTTCTAAGATTGCACATTTTTTGGGTGTTCTGAGAGGGAAGTTCACAGTGTGCTACATCTTTCATATACAGATAAGATTCAAACTCAAATGAGTCTTATGGATACATAACGCCCAAAGTTAAAAATGGAAATAAGGCAGTCAGCATCTCACCTCAGGAGCGGCCAAACTCAGTGAGTTTGGGTACCATGATGATCATGGTGCTTCGTGCTAGCTCCGTGAAAAAGGCATCTTTGTCCTTCTCTGAACAAGGACATCAAGCTGTCTCACGCGCTTAATATATCCCTCACCCTCAAAGCCACCCCTTCCACTTCCATCATCTGTTGTCACCGAGTCCCCAGTCAGAATCTTTCTCACAGGACTTCAGTGTAGTCTAGCATCTTTTTCCCCATCTTTCTGCCCATCAAAAAATATTCCAAGCTGAATTCCTTCCTGGTTGATGTAGTCTCCATGACATCTTCTGGATTTCATCACTGTCCTGCTACCAGGTCCCAAACCAATGATTGGGCCTGGTTCGGATGCGATGATCCAAAAAGAGGGACAGGAGGAAGAGGAGGGAGATCTTCAGTGCCCATGAGTGACGAGAATTGGTCCTTAAAGTTTTTTTTTTTTTTTTTTTTTTTCTCTCCTCTTAATCTCTATTCTTTCAATAAGCATAATCTCTTCAATCAAGGACGGCTTCTCCCTGACCAAACTTTGGACATACAAGACAGCTTCTTATGAAAGAACTCTGATATTCCTTTAACTTTTTTTTTTTCTCTAAATAATAGCTACTGCTGGAAGAGTATTCCTAAAGAGACAAAAAGGATTATTTTCCACCATTAAGCTGTGTGCTAGAATACCATCTGCACATCTTCTGCTTCCTGCCTACTTGCTTATTACCACATTTCCTGGAACCTGAATCAGGATCTACCATCCCTTAGATATTGCTGAGATTGCAAGAGAGGTTGAGGTTTATACATATATATGTGTGTGTGTGTGTGCACGCATGCGTGTATGTGTGTATATATACACACACACACACACACACACATATATATATATATATATATATAAAGTAAATACACATTTAGCATACCCCCACATACGTTGCAAACAGAAAGTGTCTGCAACCTGACTGGCTGAACATGGGATGTATTGACGTTCCGGGATGTGCAGTAATTTGATTATACTTTAGAATGTGTAGAAATCCCAGGCATATGTTAAAAAAAAATGCAATACTCTGAGGACTTGAAGGACCTACAGGCCATAGCTTGGGCATCAAATCATCAGATTTGCTGCGGATGTGTTACTCGGTTTGTGTATACATATATTTCTCTCTGGAAAAATCTAGAGAGAGACGAGATGAATCTGATGTAGCTACCTGAATCAGTGTAAGGCTACAGCTTTAACAAGTTACCCCCAAAATATCTGGAGCTTTTAGACCCAGCCTCAAAATGCAAAAAAATGGAGAAGGGCAGAGTAGAACTGCCAAGTGTCAGTGATTTTTATCCACAGTGACTGGAAAAGCGTCTTAGGGAGGGGGAATATTAAGACCTAATTTTGTATTCATATTGAGCTTGACAAATGACAAAGTTTTTCAGGGAGATGAAATTGTTTGCAGGTTACATTATCCAGAGGTGACATCTTAGCTCTGGATAATGTAAGGTGAAATAGCAGACTGTCTAAAAAGACATGCTGAAAGAGTAGTTTTATATATGAAGGCACAGACCTATAGAAGAAAGGTCCCAAAAATCAGAAAGAGCAAGTTAGCAGGAAAAGTTCTGCTGATTTTGTGAAAATCAGCCAAACGGTGCAAAAGCACTGCAGGTGAGTTGTGCCTGAGGAGCGTCTGTCCTTTTTTTATTTTTTGTATTCATTCTCTCTCTCTCTTTATATATATATATATATATGTAATATATAATATATACACACATATATATATACACACACATATATAATTGCCAAAAAGTATAATCAAGCTCAAAACACACTATTTGTTTTTTATTTATTTATTGGAAAAAATTACCTAAGCAGATCATACATTTAAGGCTACAAATTTCTCCTTTTCTAGTTTTTCTCATTATTACTTAGCTTTCAAGCTCCTTGCAGCAAAGACTTTCGTCTTTGTTTGGTTGGTTCTTTTGTTGTTTTTTTTTAATGCAATGCTCTTAAAAATATTTTAAGCACTTTAATTATAATTATTGCTAACAGTAATATCATAAGTACTTCTTTTATGAGTGTGTTCCAAAAGGTCCTATTGGAAAATTCTGAATTTCAGTCTTTAGGAAAAGAAGGTTAAAGATATGCAGAAAATAGTTTCTTCTTTCAAATGCCCTACATATTGACACAGTACTGAACCATTACACTCCTCAGAAAAATAGTTAGTTACCATATGTGCTCACTGCAATCAATAAAGGGACAACATAAAATGTAAACTTCAAACTGAAGCTTAGCACCCCCACCAAAGGACTTATTTGTATAAAAATATAATCCTAACAAGTATATTTTTTACAAGTGGTTTCATCTGGCATCAAGGCCATTTGCTCAGCAAGGAATTTCCATCTATCCTGATTTCCCAAGACTTCTGGCAGGAAATAAAGGCATAATACTTATAAGACTGATCTAATTCAATAAAACAAAGCCAATACTCTAAACAGAAGTAGAGAGATAAAGATTAGCAGAAACATAACCACATGGACATCAGAAGTCCATGGTTCAGTTTGTGGGATTTCCATTCTTGCTTTTGCTTAAAAAAAAAGTAATTTACTAGCACAATTATGCCCCAGTGAAAGCACCTATGACCTTTTATATTCTAAAGGTAAAAAGATGAAAAGATAAATGATAAATTCTTATTATCTTGCATGGACATTAAAGAATTAAAGTGTATGTGATATAACCATCTATCTAAGCTCTAAAAATAGCAGTGACCTGGGACAGCAATTATAAACAATGTCTAAGATTTGGAGGATTTCTCTCCCATTACCTAATAGCTAATGCAACATTAAAAAGAAATAGCGTCTATTACCATTAATGCTATAGAGCAGAACACAATCACACACATTTCTACCGTTTCCTGAATGCTGAGCAAGATTCCACAGATTCACTTTCCTGAGAACTAGGTGATTTCTTTGCCTGAAAGGCCAGGCAGAAGTTTTTCATTTCCTTTAACAAGCAGCTCAAAGAGTAAGAATACCCTTTTGGTCTTTTTTTCGCATATTATCATACATTACATATATTTCTCCCCAATCCCAAAAAATGTTGTTATATAGAACCTCCTGCATCTTAATGATACTGTGAAATGCGGGATTTTCATTTAACAAAACCTCCTAAATCCATCAATTGGTAAAATCTGCCACCTACTGGACATGCAATATATATATATATATGTATGTATATGTACACACACATACACACACACACACACACACACACATATTACACCATTAAAGAATAAGACCAAAACACTAAATCACGCTCATATTTTGTAAGTTCTCCCCTTAACCCCTCCCCCCTCCTTTTTTTTTTGAACAACAAGAACAAATGGTTGTCAAAAAACCAACTTTCAATGGCAAGGCTCATTTTAATCATCTGCTCTCATCCCAGGGAGGGTTGAAATTGTACAAACCTGCCAATAAAATCATCCCTTTTGCCAGCATCTTTGTCCCACACGGTAATATCAATAATTCCACCTCGTTCTTCATAGAGATGAAAGTCAAACTGCTCCCTCCACTGAGGATTCAAAGTTTTTGGCACAATCTGAAAGGAGAGCAAAGGAAAGTCACATTGTATTGCGCAGGCAGGCGCTTTCTTCAATTGTAAAATTGATCTGTAGATTCTGCTCAGAAAGTGGTTTGGTGTTTTTGCAGTTTATCTTAAGCTTTGAGAGTTAAAATAAATAATAGCTAAAAAGGACTATTGGTCAGTGCTTTCACACCCGATCATCAGCAGCCTCCAAAACCTTGCACCTTGTCACCTTCTAAAGCCTCCAGAAGAAAGGATTTACCCTGCGTACAGATCCATTTTTCTATAGAATAATTATACTCTATCCAAGTGACAGTCAGCTACAAAGTTTGTTTTCTTGACCAAAAGGAAAACAAAGCACCTGAAATGACAACAGCATAAGTGACTGAAAATATTTAAACTGAAACAATTTGATCTTCTCTTTTCCCAGTTATTTTGACACTGGGGAAAAAAGAAATTCAGCTTGACTATGGTTGACTTTTTACAGAAGAGTATTTATTTCTAATTTCCTTTTCTCCATAATTTAGATAAAAGTAGCTTGGGGGATCCTTTTCAGGTTTATTCCTGGCAGGAGACATTAGGGGCGTGTGGCAGGAGGGGTGGCTTGCACTGCTTCCCACCACAGCGCAGAGACAAGAGTCGCTCCTGTCCTGCACAAGGACGTAACTTCCTTGGCCCCGTGGCCTCCCTAGAAAGAGATCAAGACTTTTTAATTCCCCTCCCTTCCACCTGCCTCAAAAGTGGGGAAAATGAGAGAGGATTAAGAACCAGAAGAGCTGCAAAAATAAATCCTGCAAGACTTTATTTGTACAAGGAAATGCACAGAGGCTTTCAAAAAAATAACTTTTTTTCTCCCAAAATGAGTAACATCTACCATGTAACATACGGGTGACAATGCTAATGAAGTTTCATGTAAAAACAAACAAACAAAAACCACCCACAAGAGGGAATAACAGGCAACCTACAGCACATTGAGACAGAAAAAACCTGTCAATTACCCATGTGCACTCTGTTACTTTGTTTTGCTTTATAGGTAAAGAGACAAAAAGAGAAAACTTTGGATTTCTCCTGTGCAGTAAATCTCGGAATTAACCTTTAGATGGGATAGTCAAAGCACACGGTTGCAAATAACAGTTCCTTCAGTATCACTTCTTTCAAGAGCATCTCTGCTCTATTTCCACCTGGAAAGTGCATGTGATTGCTTCTGAGCTGTCTCAGAAGGGCATTTCTTCAGTCTCTTTACAGCACTGTTTGCCTCAAAACATCCTGTTAAAAAGGTACCGTGTAAACACTTTAAAACAGTATTTTCTTCTGACTTGTATAATCCAAACAGTCAGAAACAGTCACCGATTTCCTAGCTGATTTGAAAAAGAATAAAGAAATAAACAGACGTAAAGAGAGAATCTTCAGTTGACTCTTTTGATGGTCAATTCAAACCCATCTTTTTCCAAGGCTGGAAAAACAAGCTCTTCCCCATCCTCCTTGCAGTCCGGTATTTTCCTTTAGGTGTCCATTATTTGTGGTTTATATGGAAACAGCTGATTAATCCAAAATAAAATAAAATAAAATAAAATAAAATAAAATAAAATAAAATAAAATAAAATAAAATAAAATAAAATAAAATAAAATAAAATAAAATAAAATAAAATAAAATACACCTCCAGAGCATTTCAATGAGCATGCAGCAGAAATGGTGAACAGAAGCAAACTGGGCTCGGGCTGCAGATAACATTACCTTGCTCTTGTACTTCTGATGCCCCAAGCGGAACTTCACGTAGGGATCGCTCAGCCCATTCGCATCCATTGCCTTGAGTTCCCGACCTTCTATCAGCGTGACACTAACTATACCCCGCCAGAGCTGAGATTTTCTGTGCAGATCCGAGAGGCGCAAGCTCTGGCTCTGAAACTTCAGGGAAGAAAAACGGAGATTTAGTTAAGCAAGCCCAAATGTTTCATTTGCATTTTAGTGCTCGAGTTTTTATAGAAACGAAAGGGAAAGAATCATCTTAACCCATTTTGAAGTAATTTTACAGAACATATGTGAACTACATCATAAAGAATTATTTGGAGAGAAATCAAAGTGACAAATACGCAGGTAATACCTGGTGCTGCCTTTGCAAAGACTGATACTACTTAAGGAAACGTTTGCTCTTTCTCTCTCTCTCTCTATATATATATATTTTTTTTTCCTATTTTACTTCCCCAATGCTCCTCATAGAACCAATAATAGTATGAAAAAAATGTGAGGTCTACCTTTTATTAGTTAGGTATGAGTGAAGGAGTTTATAATACAAATAAACACCCAAACTATTTTTCTTTAGTAACGCAAACACAGCACAAGTAGTATGGACCCAGGAAAAAGAAGGCAAACATTCACAGCTCCTGTGCCACGGGACAACTAGCAGCCCCTAAAATACGCGGCATTCTCAGAAAGTGCAAACAAAATGGAATTAAACATCAAGAGTTCCAATAGCCCTGTCATTGGTTCTCAATGCAACTTTATTTTGTGTCTTTCAGATGGTAAATCTATTTGGATTGCAACTATGCATGATACCTTAAGCAGGATTTTTACTTTATTATCCAGTGAGGGCGATGAAACATAGAGTGGATCATAACCCGCCCTCACCAGACTCCAGGGCAGTGGGATACACGAGGACCAGGGTGGCTGGAGGTGCGGCAAATCTGAGCAGCATGTTTGTCAGCGGCATTTCAGAAGTCATCATGGCCACACACCTCCTATTTCCTAACGACTATTCATTCCATACATAACCGTTTCACTCCCTCAAATATCTCAGTATATTGAGATTTATCTCCCTGAAGTGAAGGGTTTGAGTGTGGCAAAACCTCTCAGAGTTCTTTTCTCCTAAGGTAACAACACCAGTGTTTGCTGTGAAGCGGACTAACCTTTACTCTTAGCCACTTTAATCTGACCCTACCCTTCCACTTCACAAAAATGCTCATACTCTTAAGTTCTCTTTTTTAAAACCTGTTACTGAACCTGACCCTCGCCTCTTAAACATAAACTAGGAAACCACAGACAGGGAAGAAAAGTATTTGTAGCTTAAGTTCAAGGCCGTTTTCCCAGTGCTGTGTTATTTTTAATGACACCCGGGCCCAGGAAAGCCACACGTCCCCGTGTCCCTCAGCTTGCTGGGACTTCAGGTCAGCACCTCACCTGGTCCCACACCCGCTCCACAGAGCAGGGTTGTCACTGAGATCCCGACACACAGGGAAGGCAATATTTTTGGCAGGGACAGTAGGTGCTGTATTGCATAAGGGGTCCAAACTGCACTTGGATAAGATGCTTCCTGTCTTGGTGCCAATTTGGGCTCTCCTATTAAAGTGGCAACAGCAAACCAATGGAGAGCCACAACTGTAGTTCTCTCCATGTGGCTGTATTAGAACAATATGTGATATACAACATAAAGCCAGCAGCCAGTGTGACAGCACAAACCCTGGGAAAATTCCCCAGAAATGGGAAAGTCGGATATAAGAAGAGGTTTCATTCACAACACAATAACATAATTACACTTTTTTCCTCATTACAAACACTCCCTAGTAGGAATATTAAAGTCAACCCTCCTTGTTGACTTGTCCCGTGAATAAGTGAAAAAGGTTTCGCCTCCTCCTGAATCCCCCTGTTCCAGTTTCTTTGATGGTTTACACTAAAAGAAAAATTGAAGAGTAATTAAGCAAAGCTGAGTCTGCCCTGAACATAAGCTGATGGGAAACCTGGGTTGATGAATCAAAATGAGCATGAAGATACACTTAGAGAGAGAGTTTATAGTGAGACAGAAGCAGTTGAGATTTTGGGTTCTGCAAAGAATACATAGTTTTGCTTCAGAGTTGAATGGAAAACCCAACTGTTTTCTATTCTTCATATTACCATGAAAACAAGCATTAGTTGCATTTACTGTTGTTGAATTATTATATAAAGGAAAAGATTTTTGCAACATTTTCAAAATTTTAATTTTTTTCAAAAATTTTCAACAGCTCTTAAAATAATTTGCTGCACTACAGCAGCTGCCCCCACATAAAGATTTTTTTACGACCATCAGAAAGCTTCCCCCATCAAGACAGTTTACATAAGAGATGGCAAGGCAAGGTCTAAATGATCAAGTCCAGAGCATAAGACGGCAGATGAGTCAAACAGGAGTTTTCCAGAGTCAGGTAGAAACCCTGAACCAACGTTCCTGTTTCGCTCGAGAAAGCCCAGATCTTAACAGTTTATGACATGCAGAGAGGCTACCAGAGCCGCTGGCACGTTGACAGAGAGGAAAGCTCTAAAGCCTAAACTGCAGTCTGCTGGAATAAAGGCAGCCGATGGAAGCGGTGTGAGCCACTTGCTGCTGTTTCTTCTTTGCGATGGGCAAATGTGCACCATTGTGCTGCTCCTTCCTCCTGGTCTTTACTGGTGACTCACAGATCCATGAAACAGCCAGCTGCAACAGGAAAGTCGACTGAAAGAACAAGGCCATAGCCAGCTGGAGCCAAAGCTGTTGAGAATTGCTGGAAATGAAAGATGGGCTATTTTGCCCTTTCCTAGGCCATTCCTGTTCTGAGGAGTTACAGATATGGATGTGAGAATTTAAAGATACGGACGTGAGAAATTCCAGAGACAGGCAAGAGCTCATGTCCAGAAATGACAACAGGTCATTTTCATAAGATTTCAAGGCATATTTGCCCCAAAGTAGTGACAAATAGAAGACAGACTTCACATTGCAGACATCTTTCCCTAAAACTTAATTTCACCATGTGACAATGGTACTTTCTAATTACCTAAATACCCTTGGAAAATCCATCCCATATCAAGATGGCAGCATTATAGCAAAATGAAGAAACATGCACAGATCTTTGAAAACTTGTCCTAGAACAGAATTTTTTCTTCAGATAATTTTTTCCTTCAGAACGCAGATGAGTATGGATCCTCCCTTCACTCGGTTACCTCAAACACATAAAATAATTTTAAAAACACTTCATTTTTAATTTCTCTGGAAATAGACGGAAAGCTAAACTTAGTAATTCCAACAGGGGAATTGTTATGTATGTGTATGATGCATATAGTATGATGCATATAGTATGATGCATATAGTTAGAATACAATTGCAAAGTCCCCAAAATGGTCCTACAGCAGCAGGGCTAATGGCCTGTAGATGGTTACACGTTCCTGGACTGCATGTGGTGAGCCTAAGCCTGCCAGGTTTAACCAGAAGCTCAGTGTCCTTTCTAGTTCTGGGTATTTGTTGCACACTCCTACAATTAGACTTCTTGGATGATGCTCTCCGTGGGACACAGTGCAAGGAGGTCTTGCTGCCTTGAGGAGGACATCTGAGAAGATGGGCCAGGGCTTCTGCAAAATACCTGTCCATGGCAATTAAGATTCACCTCCAAAGTCATCCCTAAACAGAGTTCGGGGTTTGTTTCATTGGGAACCTTTAAATATCAACCAAAAAAATAAAATCAGTACTCCTCACCATAGATAATGGTTCAGCACACACACAAATACAAAAGAAGTATGACATGAAAACCAGCATGATTAAAGACTGCTTCTAATTCAATAGAGAAGTCATAATTCTCCCCAAATTTCTAGGATGCTTGCATGGCTTGGACAAAATCTTTAAAATAAATCTTGGGAATGCCAACAGCTGCTGCTCCTGTACCTTGCCTGCTTCGGGGAAAGGCCACGGGACTGTCCAATGCCCCAAACCACGCTCCCACACTGCCTTCGCTCTGCTGGAAACTACACCTAAGAATTGCTAAGTGCTAAGAACTAGGCACTGGCATCAGTCACCCACACACGGACACTGTGCTACAGAAGGGCCTTCAAAGGGAACGTAAGAGTCTTTTAAACATTTGCTCCATTACGACTGAACAAGTTTCATAAACAAACTAGCACTGACAATCACCAATACAAAATATTTATCATCATTTGCTATAAGAAACAATTTACAATTTTAGGATCTACAAACTGCAACATCATATTAATTTTTAATCCCAGTGGAAACTAACTTATCTCATCGAGAAGCTAAGAAAGTCAGTTTTTAATGTGTTAAATCTGGTCTGGATTATTACTACAGAAACCTGATACTGCTGCTGTGGTACCAATTGTATGATAAAAGTGTAATATTTTTAGTAAGAGCTGCTTCTTTTGTGGCATCTCGAGCATTTTCACCATTTGCCAAGCCCAGCAATCATGCACACTGTGTAAGTGCTGGGAAAGCTAAAACTGCCTTTGCTGGAGCCAGCTCCAGGGTAATCTGATGAAAACTGTGACTAAACCAAGTGGAGCTAAAGCCCTCGCCATGCCTTAGATTTTCTGGGAAAGGACAGAAACATTTATACAAGACCAAGGTGCGCTGGAAAGAGCTGAGAGACGTGCTGTGTCAGTACCTCCGCCCTTCTCTTCCTCCTTGTAATTCATTTTGGAAATTAGAGCTGCTCTACGAGAGAGCAAACTGATCTCCTGCCAGCCCTGCTATTGCCCAAAAGGACCATCAGTGTCACCACTGCCCTAACACAGAAGTGACCCTGACACAGAGCAGTCCAGTGGCATCCTCCACCTCATGGGATCTCCCCGGGCTTTCGTGACTGCGAGCCTGAACGCAGAAAAATAGCAGCAAAATCCTCCTCAGCTCTTCTGATTGCTGACCATTTTGGCTGTTGTCTTTCACACATTACTAACGCAAATATAAGCCTCAGCAAATATTTGCATAATTTTTATAACCAGATGTCTGACAGCCACTATTTGCAGCGGTATCTGTTCTGACATCTTTTACCTCTATTCCATTATTTAGCAGCTTTCCTTCAAGCACTATTTACTGCTGCTCAATTGACATCTAGAACCTCATGGCTCATACCAGTATCTTCTAAATCCTGGCATATTTTTTCTCAAGAATACAAAGCAAA